AGTAAAAAAACTTTAAAATCTTATAAACAATTGTCGTTGTAATAAGAATAGTAATAATAATAATAATAATAATAATAATAATAATAATAATAATAATAATAATAATAATAAAGTTTTCAAATTATAAAAATTAAATTATCCACAATTTTTTTAATCAATATAGTGATTCATATGTATTCAAATAATTAATATAAATATCATTTAATTTTTACTAATGATTAAAACTTGAAAATGTGATATGTCCATTATCTAGAATTTTAATATTAAATTCACATATCTTGAAAATGTGACATGTTTATTATCTAGAATTTTAATATTAAATTCACATATCTTGAAAATGTGATATGTTTATCATCTATAATTTTAATATTAAATTCACACATATTATTTATAATATTTTATGTACTTCTGTGCATGTGCACAAGATGATAACTAGTTAAAATAAAATCATACATAGATCATAAATTTCGAATAAATAATGCAGTTAATAACCCAATTACAAAAGTAAACTACGATGTTAAAATAAAATTATACATTAATCATTAATTTCGAATAAATATTGCAATTAATAATCCAGTTACAAAAGTAAACCACAACTCAACAATTCATAAACATCAAAAGCTAGTATATTTGCAATTAAAAGAAAAAAACATCATAAATGTAAAAATAATGTGAAATTTGTAGGTGAACGTGTAATTTTTTCTAAGTATTTATCTCCACACACTTCACTTATAAAACATCTTACTTTAAAGCAATGTTTTAAAAACCGTACCGGTCGTCATACCGGTGTAGCGACCGGTATGCGGTATTACCGATACGACCGGTATTACAGTCTATTTTATCGGTTTTAATAAATATTAAATTAATTTGTTATTATTATATAAATAATATACAAAATTAACTTTAATTAATATTAAAATAAATTAACATCTAATAACAATATAAACATATTAAAGTTAAGTGTAGAAATTTCAATTTATACAAATAAAATAATAAAAATCTATTAAAATATTTTTTTTTTTTTTAAAAAAATGGCATAAACCGGTATTTTGACCGGTATTTTGGCCGGTATTTACCGGTAAAACCGGTATTTTCCTGTACGAAACCGGTATTTTGGCCAAAACGGTATTTTGAGTGTAAATGTACCGGTCAGACCACCGGTATCCGGTATTACCGGTAATACCGGCCGGTACGAACCGGTATTTAAAACATGGCTTTAAAGAAATATAATCAAATAAAAAAAAGTACGATATCTTATTGTATAAATGTATAGTTTTGTTATCATATTATGATAATAATTTGTTTAAATTAATTTATTTCATGTATCTAGCAACAATTCTTTAGATCTTTTTAACAGTATCAACATCAGTGCTACTACCGTGTGCCTTGGCACACCTAGCAAATTAATGAACATGTTACTTTATAAAATGAACATGTTACTTTATAAAATGAACATGTGTAACATGTTCATTTTATAGAGTAACATGTTCATTTTATAAAGTAACATGTTCATTTTAAAAAAGCCTTGACAGACCTTGCTAGGTGTGCCAGGGTGCACCTAAGTATTTGCGGTACCAACATGGAATTCAACAGTACCAGTGGCAGGAAACTTTTCCAGCTGCTGTGCAGGGGAGAGAAGGATGGTTGATGGCAATTGCTTGGGGTCTGACTAAGGCTAAGGACAACAGATGTAGTAATTTCGCTTTGTTACTGCACTCTGCTGATTTGGTGGAATATTTGTCTTCTAGTCTTAGTACTCAGGCATGTTTATGCTCATATTTGGCTAGTATTAAGGAGTTGATATTTCATTGTAATGTCTCTATTGGTACATCTTTTTAGTTTTTGGTGGTATGTTTGTTTCTTCTGTGGCTTGTTGCCTTTTAGATCTAGGTGTTCCTAAGTCGTGTTGGGAGGGTCTGATTATGATAGGCTTGTAAGGTTGTAACCATTGGTTACCGAAACTATGTTTTGAGTTTTATGAAGATTG